TCCCTCCTTTTCCTTCTTTCCCCCCCCCTACCCCCACACACACACCCCGCCAGAGCTGAGGGTAGCAATGTCTGGAACCGAAAGTGAGGCCGCAGCGGAGGGTGCAGACGACAACGCGACCGTGCGAACTGCGCTTCTCCGCGAAAGCGCGTCGCCGCGGGCTCTGGTGGCACTTACCCCGCGAAAAGGCCCTCTCATCTCACTCACACCGATGCAGCGGCGGTTGGTCATCTCGGGAGCTCGCGTGGGGGTCACCATCGTGGATGGGCTGTTTCTTTCGAGCACGGTGGCCAACCCGCTGCTGACGGTCGCCTTCATCGCCTACGAATCCTTCCGCGCTGTCAAGGATTACTGGCGAGGGGAACTCAACACGCTGGGTTATCGGACAAGTGCGACGGATGTGGCGCTCCGTATCGGGAAAGAGGTGGGAACCGCCGCCATTGGAATTGGCATTGGGCACGGCGTGGGCACGCTCATTGGCCTAAGTGCCATTCCCGTAGCGGGACAGATTATCACCGCCACGGTGCTCTCGGTGACCATGGGTCTCTGTGTCGGCACACTGCTCACGCGGTACGCAGATCGCGTCTTTATTCGGCTACAGCTGCAGGCGCAGTATGGATACTCACGGAGTGAGCAGAAATCTCGCACAAGATTTGAACACTTGCTTGAGGCACAGCATGATCTTTCCTCATTTGAGGCCTGTCGAATTGTGCAGCACTACCGAGACTACCGGGTGGCGTGTGGTTGGGAGAGTCATACCGACGTCGACGACTACCGTGCCTCCTCGGACATTACGATGATGCCTGTTTCCTTCCAGCACTTTGCGATTGTGCAGTTGCAGCGCAAGTGGGGTTTTCTCAACGAGTACGTGGAGTGCAAAAAAGTGTTCAAGGCGTTAATGCTCTTGCACCATCCGGACAAGGGTGGCAATGGCGAGCTTGCGGCGCAGCTCAACCATGACTACGAAATTTATGCCTTTTGCCAGGGCTGGCACGAAGACTGTCGCGGCATCTTGCAAAGAGGAGGGGCTGCAGAGCCTGACAACACGTCCGCCGGAGGCAGGAAACGAAAACGGAGTGCCATTGTGGGTTTTCTCCGCTCGCTGTTTCGTCCTGCGAGTAACTCCGCTGTGGAGGCTGAGGATCTCAGGCAATATGGACTTTTGGCCTTGGAGGCGGGAACCCCGCCGGAGCTTCACAGGCTTGACGAAGTCGACTGGGAGGCGATGGACAGAGAAGACGTGGGAGGCCACGAGAAACCCGTCTTTGTTACGAGCGCCTCTGTCAGGCAACGGAGCGTCTCGCGCGTGCTGGCCTCCATTCATCGTTGCTACCAACTCGCCACTGAGGCGATTACGTTTGCTGGCTTAGTCCGACTGTACCACGAACCGGAGCAGTGGTCGGAGCTCGAACGCGACATCTATCTCTTTAACCGACTACAGACGTTTGTCAATGTGGTCGATGCGATTCCATCCAACGAGGGCGATCGCCCTGAGACGTCCAAAAAGGAATACTCTTGTCGTGGTCTGAGGTGGCGCACCAAGACTGAGGCAGTTTTAAGGCGCGAGGAACAAAGGGAGGCGATCGTGTCCCGCTGCTTTCCCCCACATATCTCCTCCAAGTTAATGGAGGCGCTTGAGTTGTGGAAGACGGCCCAAAGCCTGGCCGAGAGTTTCTTTAAACAAGGCAGCACTGGTGGTGGTGGTGGTGGCAGCGGCAGCAGCAGCAAGAACAACAACACCAGCACCAGCACCAGCAATAATGAGAGTGGTGGGGAAATAGGGGTCTCTGAAGGCACAGGGCAAACGCTCGATACTCTGTTAGCCATTCAGAGGGCCTTGCAGGATCTGGTGGAGGACAGTACACAGTCTTGGAAGCGTGCCAATACTAGCGACGAGGCCTCACTCGACCCCACGTTTATAGAAAAAGTGAGGGCGTACGGTCTAACAGCAAGTTGTGCCTTGGCCGGGGCACACGCCATAGGCGTGGAGGAGGAACTGCAGAAGACGTGCAAAGAATTTTTTAAGGGACGTCGGAGGAAGCTGGAGACTGTCACCTCCCTCTTGAATGAAATGTATGATGTGCAGACGTCGCTCAAGACAGCCGCTGTGGGGGAACGAGAGATTCTCCAGAGCCGACACGACGATTTTATGAAGCAGCTCTTTCTTGTGCACTACCTGTTTGGGGAGTTGGACGCCGCCACAGTTGAGTTGTATGACATTTACACCATGCACCTCCCTGAAAAAGCCGGTGTTCTTAAAATGTTCCCTTCTTCCTGTGCACAGGCCGCCCATGAGGCGGTCCATGTGCCTCGATACGTGAAATACGAGCGTGAGCGCACGCTGATAAACTATATGAATATTGAGCTGGAACCACGGAATGCGATGGACCCTTCGCGCTCCTCCGCCGACAGCGAGGTCTGTCTGGCGCGTGCGGGTGAGGTTGCCGCGGTCCAATTTGCCTTACTCCGTGCGCAGTATGTAGACTCCGTTAACGGCACAGTTACCCCGTGTTGGCTTAAGCGGTACGTGTTTCCCAGGGCGGACGGGGTCGAGGCGCAAATGCGTATTGAATTTCTCTTTAAACGTATTATGGAACATGAACTGTGCGTTCCAGAGTTGTGCGCCACCCACCGTGTGACGTGTGTCACTGATGTTTTTGGCGATGATTATACGCGGCAAATATACTTTCACATTCCACGCGGTGGAACTCAATTGCGCTTTGGCTCCACGCACGATGTCCGAAAACGAATCCTGCGACTTGGCGTTCGCTGGTTGCATGACGCGCTGCAATGCGTTATCGACCTCCACTCCTGCCAGTTGCTGCATGGGGCCATATGTTTATCCAATTTTACCTATGATGAGTTTGGAAACACAACAGTAGGCTTTTTTTCCGACGCACTGCGCGATCGGGCACGGGACGCCGCGTCTCCGCTGGACGACGTCATTGATTTTGGCGCCTGCCTGCACACCGAGGTGCTTCCGTACCTTGGCGGCGCGTCAGCCGCCGTTGCTTCAGCGAGACGTCCCCAGTTGGCGGGTCGGCGGGAGGAACGCGTTGCCGCAGGTGGAGGTTATTCTGAGGACGAGGTCGCCGACGTCTATCGCGAGGTTGCGGACCGGCTAATTGGGAAGGTGGAGCCGCGTTGGTCGTTGCTTGACGCGCGAACCTTTGTGCGGCGGTTTCTCGAATTCAACTACAACAGCGATGAGCGCAATTACCTGTTTAGCAAAGAAGTTACGTACCCAGCGCATTGGGCCACACTCAAAACCATCGTCCCCGTCTCGCTTGTTGCTGCGGACGGCCGTGTTGCGTTGCAGTTGCCCTCGAACGCCCGCGCGTTCCTCAACCGTAACCTGCACCTCTGGGAGGTGTATTGGAAGGGCCGTCGCAAAATGTTGCAAAAGCGCGGCGGCGGCTTTTTTTCAATGCCCGCGGCGCTGAAGAGGCACCCACCTTTTCTCCACTGCAGCGACGATTGCGAGGTCAACGAGCGATTTCTATGGCACGCCTGCGCCAATGAAGAGGAGGCGTGGCAGATTTGTCTTGAAGGCCTCGCCTCTCGCAAGTGCCGGCTGCGACTCGCGCCGCCGTGGCTGGAAACGGGGGACGGGGGCGAGCGCCGCCGCGCCGCCGCCGCCGCCGCCGCCGCAACCGGCTGGGGCGTGGTTTTCCGCGCGTCGCTCGGGACGGTCGTGGAGCCTGGCGGCGGGCCCTCTTCCGACCCGCCGCCGCCGCCAGGAGGCGCCGCGCACGACCCCGACGGATCCGCGGAGCAGCGCTGCGTGTTGCTGCGCGGGGGCGCCGGGAGGGCGGGCGGCGCGCAAGACTGGGAGATCGAGGTGCCCGCGCCGCTGGCGCGCTGCTACCCCGAGTACCTGGTTTGCGGGGCAGGGGCCGCGCCCGGGGGAAGAAGGCAACGGGGCAAGTAACGCGCCGGCCGGCGGGACGAGACGAGCAGGTGGCGGGGGCGTCGGCGCGCGACGCGACGGGGGCCGGCGGGGCCCACCCCCACACACCCGCCCAAGGCGCCAGGTCGCCGACGCACGTGCGCGGCCCCGTCGAGCGCGCTCTTTTTTTTTTTTTTTCTCTATTTTTTTGTTTCTTCATAGTTCCGGCCGCCGCGGCCGGCCCACCACAAAAGGTAAGGGAGGCAGAGGAAGGGTGGTTGCGGGGGGCTCTCCCCCGTCCGGCGGAGGCGGTGCGGCCCCGCAAAACTTCGCCGTCGCGACGCCGGCCGGGGCGGCGAAAAAAAAAAGTAGGGGTGGGGCTCGTCGTCCCGCCCCAGCGCCGGGGTCCGCCAAGGGGTGGCGGTTGTGCGCGCGCGGGCGGGGGCGGCGGGCCGAGAGGCCGAACAGACAAATCTCCCGTTTTCGTTTCCCGTTGTTGTTGTTGTTGTTGTTTTGATTCGATAGAAAGGTTAAAGCAAGGGTATGGTTCTGTTATCGGTGCTTGATGAGTATCGGCAAATTTGCGGGGAGTTGGGTCTGCGGCCGCTTCGGGCACTGGAGAATGCGTTTGCGGCCTCTCCTGAGGAGATCGATCTCAGCTTGCTGGTGGTCTCATCTAAGAATTTTGCATCACTTATTAAGCTATTAGAACGGCGGGATGATATTGAAAAACTGGATCTTAGTGGAATACAAGTTCCTGCAGCCCAGCTTGTCGAACTATTTTCCGTTTTGTCTAACGGTTGTGTGAAGGAACTCATCCTTAAAAATGTAGAGCTGGGCGTTCAGGCTGGTGAAGCTTTAACAAAACTGTCTATTGCCTATGAAGGCCTAATTCATGTCGAACTTACAGGCACATTTCTGCCTGAGTCTTTGGAGATTGCGATCCAGTCACAAGTAGAAATGAATCTCCTTAATTACCAGAAGAAGATGCAGTATTGGCAAAAAGCTGTTGAACCCGAAGCTCCGAGATCATGGAGGTGGAGAATTGAGTCCTGGACGGAAGAAAATGAAGCTGAACCAGAGAAACCCATGTTAAACTCAATAAATAGTGAGGCTCTTTGGCACATTGCCCGTTCTGTTACGGAAGAAGGCCTTCTCTTTACCGACAAGAAGTTTCCACCTGAGAAAGCCTTGAAGGATTCTAGTGTAAAATGGGTTAGAGTAAGTAGTCTACTTGCCGGGAGCAAAGCGCGGGAAAATTGTTGTGTAGGGCAAAAACCATTGTATTATTCAAAGTACACTGATACGAAGAACCTTTGTGCAGCCCTCAATGTGGTTCAACAAGTCCATCATCTTCGTAAGCATCTATGTGTGAGACAAATTCCAAATTTGGGGCTTTTCGCATTTCGTTTTTTTGTCAAATCTGTCTCAATTATAATTATTGTGGATGATCAAATTCCCTTTATAGACAATGAACCTGCGGGGGTTCACCATGGCAAAAACTGCGATGATTACTGGGGATGCTTGGTCGAAAAGGCCTTTGCCAAACTTTACGGTGGATATGAGAAAATTTCCGAGGTAGGATTTGGTTCTGCTCTTTCACAGTTAACAGGCGGTGTATGTTTTGCAATTGACTGGAAAATTTTGAGGCAGCATTTTACGGAAACAGAAATGTTTCGTTTTTTGAGAGACTTAACAAATTCGAAAAAAATTATAGCTTCTCAACTTATTCCACGTAACGCAATGGCGATGGAGTCTGTAAAAGAAAAAGGTATATTGCCCTATATGTCATATGTTGTAGCGGCCACTGAGGCACTTCGTGGTGAAAGGCCGCATCTTTCCTACATCGTACAGCTTTCGTGTCCCAATAAGCTAAATTGCGAGAATTACTTTTTTTCTGCTCATTTAAAAATGGAAACTGTTTCTGGTCTTCCG